TTTTTTTTTTTTTTTTTGATTACGTTTATCTGATGTCAATTAAACAACTGCTCTTAACGATTAAGTAATTAAAGATAAGAGAAAGATGAAGAGGAGACTGATGAAGGATGAGAAAAGGCAATGATAAATGATAAAAATGACGTGTTTCTTTTTCTTGTCTTTTAGTTTAAAATTTTTTTTTTTGTTTTTTTTTATCTTCCAAAATTTTCTTCAAAAAAAAGGTTTATTAATTAATTTGTTTATGCTAATTTATTATTGTTAAAAATTATTGTATTTTTTTGCTCCTTTTTTTATTCATTAATGGTTGAGAAATTATCAATTATATCCATTTTGATCGTTTGAATTTTTTTATTAATTATTATTACTATTATTAATTTTTCTTTTTATTGTATTTTATTGTTTGAAAGACAAATAAAGAATTTAAATTTCTGTTTTTTTTTGTCTATTATTCAAAAATAAAATAAAATAAAATTTTTTTGTATATGAGTAATTTTTAAAATTATTTGCTAGATTCAACGAAATTACCAAGCGTCTTATATCAAATTTCATTAATAAATTTTAGTGAATTGAAAAATTGTGTCAAATATTTTATTGAATTTTATTCAAATTGAATCATTTTGTTGTTTTTTCTTTTCTTTTCTTTTTTTTTTTTTTTTTTTTGTAAAAGAAGACTAAGATTAATTAACAATTTCGAAATTTCATACTTATAATTAGTCGATAATATTTCATCCTGTTTTTTTTCTTTTTTTATTCGATGTTATTCCATTTTCTTAATTAATTCAATAACTTTAGCAGTTTTTATGCTTAATTAAAAAGTAATTTTAATAGAATTCTTCCAATAATTTTTTTCTTTTTGACAACTTTGAATTCCTAATTGGAAAGTAACTTTAATATAATTATTTAAACAAATTTTTCATAAATGTATCATTCTTTCAGAGGATTTTGTATAAATCACATGTTTTAAAAAAGTCACTTTTTCACAATAAAACTTTTGAACTTTTATCAATTGCTATCTTATCAGTTGCTGCCGTCATCATCATCGTCATCATGATGATGAAGTGTGAAGAGTGATAATTAAATTATATGATTGTATCCAACTTATCAGTCAATCAAATTATCTCATCAGTTTCTCCCTAAATCATAAAATTCCTCTTCTTTCTCAATAAATTTTTAAACTTTTTTTTATCAGTTCTAATTGCAACTTATCAAAGTTTATTATCATCAAATCTTTTTACTCGTAGTTTTGTCAAGTTTTTTTCTAATCCTTTTTTTTTTTATTACTTATTTATTCTGATATTAATTTCCAGCAACTGTGACATCTTTTAAAAATCTATCCTTTTCTCATTTTTTCTTTGTCCTAAACTTATTTTCAAGCTATCCTTTCAGGTTTTTTCAAATTTTTTAATTGTGTAAAAATATAAATAAAAAAAAACAAAGGAATATTATTTGATAAGAGTATTATCTTATAATTAATTGGTACAGCATAATTAAGACAGCGATTTTTGAATTGTGATTGAATTTTTTTTATAATTTAAAAATTTAAAATTCATCCTTTTTTCTCTTTGCAAAAAAATCACAGATTAAACATTCAAATTCGTTCCACAAATGGTTTAATTGAGTGGGGAAAATTCTATACCAATTAAATGATTAATTGTAATTTTAATTGAACATTTATTAATTTTGATATTTTGATAAACTATTAACGATATATCTTTCATTTTTTTTTTTCGTTATTCATTATTTCAGGCTTATATTTACATAAATCGTATGCTATGTAGTGTTTGTTCAACAATTTTATGCAAATTGTATGCACGACGATAAAAAAAAAAGAAAAAAAAAAAGAAAATGTCAACAACGCAGCGTGCTGCACTTGCAGCTGCAAAAGCAAAGCAAACAAAACAAATGCGAACATGTTGCAATTGTTGGCATATCAAATGTGGTATTATTGTTTTGGGATTAATAGAACTTATTGCTGTTACGCTAATTTTGAGCGGTATTTTTACACAAATAATCAACAAAAGTGGTACATTTAATTGTGATCACAAATTCGTTTTTAGGTAAATGATACGTTTATTCATTACAAATAAAATATATTAATTATTTAAATTAAAAATTTTATATTTTGAATTAAAATATGATTGATAAATTCATATCATATGAAAATTATACAAATTTTTTATCAAATAAAACAAAAAGACACATCATATAAATTCCATTTAACTTTTCCTGTAAGGTTAAATTTCTAATGAATGAATTATTAACAAATTCAAAATTGTTTTTTTTTCATTGAATGGAAAAAAAAATTTCAGCTTTTTTTCTCCTGTAGAAAAAATGAGATTAACTCAAATTTTGTTGAAATTTCATTTGAGAAAAAAAAGAAAACTATGAATTTCACATGAATAATTGAACAAGAAATTGAAAGTAATCGAATAATTGAATTAGAAATAATTGAATAATATTCATTTGCATGACAACGAATATGTTTATTAGTCCCTCGATTCATTGAGAATTATCAGGGGAGAAATTGCAGCAGAACATTCTCGATATAAATGAAAATGAAATTAATTAGAGAAAATGTTTATCCTTCAAATAAGTGGTTGTTGCAATAATCTGTGAATACTAATTGAATTTCTGAAATTTAATTTATTTAAAAGTGAAATAAAATTTGATGGGAACATTTTGCTAATAAATTCGATATGATAATACAACCTCATGCATTTACTAATGTTGTAAAATAAATGATAATTAACTGGAACATAAATTAAATTTAATTTGAAATGATAATGAAAATGTAATGATAATTTTATCAGAATACTTAATTATATTATTGAAGATTATTCCAAGGCTGCAATTCATCAACAATTGATTGGATATTAGTTGGTGATTATTTCATTGCCTTACTATTATTTATCATTGCAATATGTGTATGTTTCTTTTAATTATTCCTTCATTTTAATTTGCTTTTTTTTTAACAAACAAAGCTTATTGCGCATAATTAATTATGCATACTTAATCTAATCAATTAATCCAACCTAATTAAGTTATTTATTTGGGTGCCAATTCGTTGCTATCATTGATAACATGCATCAAATAGTAAATTTATAATTAACACTATTAGTAATCAAGATGAAACCATTAGTAATTAAGATGAAAACAAAAACAAAAATAAAAACCGAAAAAAATCTAAGTTTATTGTTTATTTTAAAATCTTAATTTGATAAGTAAAAATTTTGTTTTTTTGCCAAAATTTACAAATTTTTAATGAAATTTTTTTGGCCTTTTTTTTTTGAAAATAACAATGTATTAATGCATTCATATATACCATTATATATGTATTATTTATACATTTTATGTATTACAGTTATATATATATATATATATATATATATATATATATATATATATATATATATATATATATATATATATA